TTCCAAGAAGGATCTAATTTCCTATTAAAGAGAGAATCAACATCAAAATAGGAAGCAGTCTTAAGTTTCCTAAAGCAAGAAGATCTCTGCACCTGCTGCCCTTTCCTGCGAGCAGCCCAATAGGTGTGGGGGCATTTGTGGAGCCAAAAATAATCACATGGCGACACGTGGATTTTTGGGTAAAAGAGGACAAAATTACCCTTGAGGCATATTGAGATTCCTACGCGCGAGCAGCGAACAATCATCCTCAACCAAGTCAAAAGTGCCCAAAATAGGTAACAATTTAAAGCCTATTTCATCAAATCATTTCTATAAGGTAATTCCTAAAACCTAACTTATTCTATATATTTTGTATTCCATTATTTAGCTAATCAATTAGCTAAATAATATTTTCCTTTCATATTCCCTAAGAATTGATTAATTAAGAGATTAATTACCTAATCAATCCCTTAATTATCAATTAAAACACCCATTCACACCTAAAACTACTAAGAAGTTGGCCACCTTCCTTTTCCTAACCTTTTTCACTTTTCTCCATTTTATTACCCCATTTATACAAATAATCAATTTTGTAACCACCAATTTATTCTTTAGGGTTTAATTAGCCAAATAAATTGACTAATTAAACCTAAATTAAACCCAAAAACCCTAGCTAGGCCGGCCACTTCCTATCCCTATAAAAGTGATCCCATTCTCACCAAAAAGCCATTCCAACACTTTGGCAAAAATCCCAAAATTCTCTAAACACTCTTTCTCTCTATATTCTAACTTTGGCATCGGAGGTTCTTCGGCCAAAGCCCCTCCCCATTCATCGTGGGCGCGTAAGGCTCTTGGCCTTAACCTAAGGTGTTAATTGTTTTGTAGGTGCAAAATTGTCCAAGATCAAGGAGGAAGAAATTTGCATCCACATAATCCTCTCTATATATAAGGACGATTTTGCAGGATGTAACAATATTTATATATAATAAATATATATCCAGGGGAATTCAAAATTGTTCAACTAATTTTAGGAACCACATCCACTGGAATAATGGATCATATGAAAATACAGATTGTAACAAGTTCTTTTAACTTATTCGATTTCTGCATCCTCCATTTATTTTCGAAAGACATTAAAACTCTTGAAGCCAAATTCTGCACCGTTATTAGCTTCTAGAAAACTTTTGTCGCTTTAGTCTCTTCCTTATCAATCGTTTTTTTGCGTTTGGTTCAACTTTGATATTGCATAACATGTTGAACAACAAAATAAATCCGGACTTTATTGTATTCACAAGACATATTTTTGATTTTTCCTTTCACACAAATAATGAGAACACATTGTACTTATACTAAAACCTAAGTAAAAAACATTGTTCACCAACAGTGAATGGACTAAAGTGCCTTTCAATTCCTTTGTTATCAGCCATTTTCCCCATTCTTACACAACAAAAAGACGCCTTTGCCCTCCTAGCCCACGTGTCCATCATCGATGCACCTTTTGCTTCGACTTTTCCTCTTCTTGACTCTTATGCTTCAAGAATATGAAATTATGCTATTGCGTGTTAAACTATGAAGTCTTATTTCGAATTGTTAGAGTTACAGATTTTATGTCAATGACATGAATCTCACTAAGACTTTAGAATAGCTTGAGAAAACAGCCTCGTACTTGAAGATGAAATTTGAGAAAGATCTTGGAAAAAGCTCGTTTATGCCTTGACTTGAAGTTCAAGCGTTGTTCTGATGGTATCTTGGTCCACTAGTCAAATTGCCTCCCAAAGGTGTTACCTTTGAGTATGCCTATGATCTTCCATATGCTATATGTAACTGAGACCCTTGAAGAAGTTATGAAATCCGAAGCTCTATATCTAAGCTCAACTTTGTGCTTTGTTGTACTTAGCTCATTACGCTAAAGAGGACATTCGTTGTTGATCTATTGGTAAAGATACAACACCGCACCTACATTCAACCATCCTATTAAAGACATACTCCCATTACTCTGAAGGTACTATAGATTTAGTCTGATCTCTATGCATACCGAGTGGATCCAACCCCCTTGGTTCTCGGAATGATGCTTGTCTTGTTTGTTATGGTGACTGATAGGGTAAAAATAGGGATAAAAATAATTAAAAATACTTGCAAGAAAGCAAGGTAGTTGAGGTATAAACGGCTCAAGCAAGGTCGTTTTCCATAAGGATTGAATGAATAATTTGTATTTAAAACTAACTCTTAATTAATTATCTAAAACAGTTGGGAAAATGTTGATTTTGGAATTTAAAATAATAAAAATGAATTTTAAATTAAAACAATTAAAGAAATTAGCAAAATAAAGAAAAAAAAAATTTGAAAATCAAATTGTAAAAGCCTAAGGTTCCACCGTCACCATAACAATCTTATGTAATTTTACCAATTACCTATGAATTACACATGCAACTTTGAAGGTTAGGTTTTCCTAATACATATTCTCCTCGTGATATTCTAGTAAAAACGTATATCTAACATGTAACCGTCTATGATATTCAGAACAAATATGGACATGCAAGACTCATTAAGTTTTGTGAAAACCCCTTGAAAAAACCATGCAACCCCTAAGATGTAATATTCATCCTAAGTGAAATTACAATCATTAACCACTAGAAACAATATTCAATCCTCTGGTGATATACCGACCAAATTACATCGGATTACTTATCTAAACATCATAATGGTAGTTAAGCATTAAGATATACAGACAGTTTAAACGCAATGATTAATAATGTAAAGCAAGCATGCATAATATCATAACCAATTGAATAACGATTACATAATTATGCTAAAACTCGTGGCCTCGCCCTAGCAAACAAAACTAGTTATGAACAACCATAAACAAAATATTATTAAAAATAAGGGTAGAAAACACCTTAAAAATAAACTTGAATTGTCAAAAGCGATTCTCCAAATTAGTGCATGCCTATGTTCTCCTCCAATGGCTAAACAGCCTTATTTTTATTGCTACAAAATAAAACCCTAGAGAAGGTCTTTGAATAAAACTAGGAAACAAAATAAATTAAAATAAACTAGGAAACAAAATTCTAAATTAACTAGTAAAATTCGTCCAAAATTTGCACAGCCACGTTTTGGACCAATATCTGCTCCAAAAATGGCCCAAAGTAGATAGATTTAAAACTTGGAATACTCTGAACACTTCTCCAGAAGGCCATGAACCCATCGGAGGTCATCTTAGGCTCCAAAAATTGTAATTAAGCCCCAAAACGTCACCTTCTAACAACATGCACTGCTTCTTTATTTCATCGCCAGAAAATAACCACTCAGTAAAAAAATCTGAAACTTTGGTATGAACAAGATGATAGACTCACAAACGTCCTCCAATTAAAATCACTCCAAAATTCGTCCATTTGGTCACGTTTTTTCCCAGAGCAAGTCAAAAGTCCTACATTGGAAATATATAACAAAGTATTAAAATTCTACCAAAATAACCAATAAATTATTACTAAGAATAGGGTAAAATATATAGTAAAATATCAACTCCTTAATGACACCAGTTTCTTATAAAACCTGCACAAGGACATCCCCAAATGGTTACATCTTTACCATTAAGGATAACGCAATATCTTGGTGGTCCACTATATAGACATTAGTTGTGAAATCTTTGAATCGTTCCAAGACTCACCTCACTTCACTACGCCACACGTGAGATATGGTTAACAACTCTTGGTGAGCATATTCGAAGTACCTGCTGTTTTCATCCATCATTGCGTCCCAACTACGAAGCATGAGGACTATGTCGCATTTATCCACCCGACCAAGACATGATACATTGAAAAAATCAAGACATGATACATTGAAAAAATCCAGCCAAGACACATTGCGTCTACTTCTACATCAACAAAGCATCATGAGATTGAAGTCGAGCAATCTAATCCCAAGCAACGTTGCTAACCTCTTCACGACACCACTGCATAAGTCTACCTTCTAGAAGCTTGTCCGAGGAATTGATATACATGATTATCTTATATGCAATGCATGTAGTTCTCATTGGAAGTTTTGTCAAACTCAGGGGAGTATTCCGATGAGACACCCATCCTAGGCTGATCATACCCTTGTACTCTTTTTCTCACGATTAGGAGCATTTTCCCACTGTTTTTTGTTACCTAACTAGGTTTTGATGAGACACCCATCTTAGGCTGATCATACCCTTGTGACCTTAATACTTGCGTCCAGAAGATGATAGTTTTGACTTAATGCAACTTCTCACATTTCTCCTTGGTCTAAGGGTTTTTATCCAACCTTGGGTTTTACCATAGTGACGCTTTGTGAGTTTCTTTTTATGCATTCTTCAGTTAATTTGACACTCACATTCGCTCATTGTACCGACAACTTCATCAACTGAAATTACTTCATCGTTGAAGACCCGATGTGCCATTTATTTGAGTATTTACACACTCAAGAGGGAGTGTTGCAGTCCTAATAGTTTAGAAATGTGATCGTGTAAATCCTATATTATCTTGGGATATCTTTGTGAGATTTAACCATATCTTTTCTTTATATATTATCCTATTATAGTGTACGAAATCTACATTCCCTACTACTATAAATAAAGACACAATGGGATGAGAAATCACACTTTAGAATTCACCTAATTCTCTCCATGCTTGCTGCACCCTCTTTCTCAATCTCTATAATTCATCAGTCAAATAGACCTACAACAACAATTAATCTTTTAAAGAGTTATTTCTATTTTTATTGTTATTTTACATGTGTCAACGAGTAATTAGTGGGCAACACCACCTGTTATGCTTATGAGTACGTACCCGTCACCCTAAAAAACTCTTCCCAATGAAGTATTGAGTTAATTTAGCATTCAAATTACGAGTTACAATTCAAAAACAGTTTTATTTATTTTAACATCCTCAAGAGTGTTCAACATATAAATAAATCTTCTTGTTTTTTAACCTCAGTCATCCCACAACTTTTATTCCAGCAAAAGAAAAGCATTAACATATACACCAAAAGAAGAAGGAGAAATGGGAAGATTAAATAGTACAACTATTGTTTTTATCCTCATTTTTGTGATTGAACAAGCAATGTTCATTCCAGGATTTGCAATCTTAGCACCTTCTCCGTCTAGTTCTGAGTTTTTAGAAGAATGCAGGAGACATTTTTCTCCCAGTTGTGAAAAAGAAGTATTTGATTATGTACTCGTTAAGCCAGTGCCTGTGGATCTACAGTGTTGCTTTGATCTCATTGACCTTGGTAAATCTTGTCAAAAAGCATTAGTGAATGAAGCTTTTCGCAAAATTCATGTCAAAGTCAACAATGATTATGCTTTGAAATTAAGTAGAGAAATGTGGGATGGTTGTGTTAACGACACAGATGCTTACTTGGGTTACCACTAATTCGATCATGGCATATATAATAAGAATCTTGCAATGGTATATTATCCTTTAACCACGAATAATTAATTATGAGTTAATTATGTACTACATTTTGTATGAAGAAGGAAATACTTTTGAAATTAATGATGAAATGTAAGATTTTGGCCTGAGGACTACAATTTAATCCAAACATATATCTTTCTCTTTACAGTATATTTCACTTGCTTCTTTTACATGGTGAGCACTCACCAAGATCTTATGCTCGTTAATTAGAATTCTAACTTTCGTTCCATTTTCATTGCACCCTCTCTCTGTGTTTCGTGTTTTCTTTCCCATTCTTTCAAACACCTATCCATTGTATGACTCAAATATACATGCTGAAATGCATGTTAAAATCTTATGAAGTGAATCTTTCTTATATTGAATGGTTCCAATACTATTTTATTGGAGAATAAGATCTTATATCGATCATATGATAGGATGAGTAAATTAATGTAACAATGATCTCTCAACTTTAACTCAATTGGAGCAATGATCCTTCAACTATAAATCCATTACCATTGATCACTCAACTCATCAAAACGTTCAGCTATGGTCCAATTCATTAACTCCGTTAGAACTTCCGTCAAAAATGAGTCACGTGTGCACGTGAGGTTGAATCAAGGGGCAAATATGAAAAATCAAATAAGAAAAATTGTATCAATGGTTCCTCAACTTTAATTTAACCCAATTGGAGCAATGGTCATTTCAACATAACTCATTTTGACAGAATTCTGACGGAGTTGACGAAAAGGATCATAGCTACACATTTTGATGAGTTGAGGGACCAATGGTAATGAATTTTTAGTTGTGGGACCATTGCTCCAATTTGGTTAAAGTTGTGGGACCATCGCTACAATTTACTCACACAATAGTGTACTGAACAGCGGGAGTTTTTTTTCAGAATAATGGTTGGGCCGGTTTTAGTTGTGGGAATCGGTTTTCCTTGTAACTCCATAAGGCCACCCAATGTTGAGAACATATCTAGCAATAGATGGTAAGTTGAGACAATATGGATGATAATAGTGATGGTGTTAGTGGTGAACTGCGCTGGGCCAGAAAAGTTTATCATATTTTACCAAAGCCTTTTGAATAATATCCCCCACCTACTTAATTACACATGTGATGAAGTGTAATACCCTGAAAATTTTGAAATATATGATTATGTGGAATTTTTTTTTTCGGAAAGTGAAATGATGAAAATGTCCCTCGTTGACTAAACATAATTATACGAGGACGTATTTTATCCTCATGTATTTTATCATATTTCTTGGAATATTTAGATAGAGCTCGATCTCGCGAATGCGTAGGCGCAAACCGTTTGTGAAACAAAGTTATAATGAATGAGTTATTAACGAATGAAGTTAGGGGCAAAAATGGTAATTTAATTATTTATCTGGAAGGCTCCAGATTTGTTGGAGTGTGGATATGGTGCCATGTGTGTGGCTGAGATAGAAAAAAAGGGAGAAAAAAAGGAGAGGGAGCTGCCAATCGAGAATAAGGAGGAGAAGAGAGGACGAATGGGAAGAAAAGAAAATGAGGGAAATGAAGGAAGGGAGAATGAGAGAATCGGCCAACCCGGTTTCTCCACTCGACCCGGTTCCTTGACTCGGTCATATCTTCTCCGACCGACCTCCCTTCGAGGTGGTTCCGATGTTTATGGAAAGCTCTCATTGAGCCCAACGTCCCTACTGTGTTAGATTTCAAATTTTCTAACCCAAACTTACAAATCGAAGCCACAAACCCACATGTGCTTTCGGCAGCTTTAACCTTTTTTTGGTGGCTCCAGCGAGCTTCACTATCGATTGACTAAGATAAGAATTGCCTAGATTTGATTTAGGTGATTTGAATGCCAAGAAAATAGGGCAAGTCACCTAAGTCCTTTATATCAAACTCAGAGGTGAGGGAATTAATAACATGATGAATGACAGATGAAGAGCTCACTATGATTATAATGTCATCCATATAAAGAAGCAAAATCACAGTATCACTGCCAATCTTTTTCACAAATAAACAAGAATATAAATAAGTGGATTGAAAACCAATGTTAGGTAGAAATGCAATTCCATACTCATAGGGCTTGCTTTAAGCCATATAGAGACGTATGAAGTTCGCAAACCAAATGTGGATTCTGTGCATCTACAAAACCAGGAGGTTGAGACATGTACACTTCATCCTACAACAAGCCATGCAAGAATGCATTTTTAACATCAAGTTGCCTCAATTTCCATCCATGATGTCCACTAAAGCCAAAACCAACCTAATAGTAGTAGGTTTAACCACTGGACTGAATGTCTCTCCATAATTAAGCTTTGGTTCTTAACTGAAGCCTTTTGCCACCAACCTAGCCTTAGGCTTAACAATAGTACCATCTGAGTTCTTCTTGATTTTAAAGTTCGATTTACATCCAACTAAATTCTTTTATGAATGAAGAGAAACCAAAAACCATGTACCCTGAGAATGTAAAGTCCCAAATTCCTTCTGCATTGCTTCAAGCCAAACTAGAACCTTAAGTGCACTCTTGTATGAAGTAGGTTCAACCAATGACAAATCCACAGTATCAGAATCAACTAGAACAGTCAATAAGTCTGCGTTCTTAATTATACTTGCCTGGCTTCTAGTCTGCATTAGATGCATGTTGAATGGAGCAAAGGAAAGAACCACTTGAAGATATGCAAGATCAAACAAAAGATCCATTGGGAGTAAAGAAGAGTCACTTGCAGTGCCAGTAATGAACTTAGAAGTAACATAAGGTATAAGACTATGGAATGAAATATTGGAGGGTGAAGCAGCATATATAGGTTATGAACTAAGGATAGATGGTGAACTTGATGAAGTATGTAAGGGTTGTTGTGACACAGATGGTGATGATGGAGACACTAGCAAATTGTCAACAGTTGTGACTAATGGTGGTGGTAATACAACACTAGTTATAAAGTGAGCATAGAGTTGTGTTGACTATTTTATCATACTAGAATAATGAAGCTCTAGTTCAATGAAAAACACATGTCTAAAAATGTACACCTTGTGTTTAGAGACATCAAAACAAAACAAAAATATACCCTTTGTATTGAGATGCATAGCCAAGAAACACACATCTAGTTGCTTTAGCTTGCAGTGTGGAACTATTGTATGGTCTCAATAATGGAAAACATGAGCAGCCAAATACCTTCATATGTGATATAACTGGTAATTTTCCAAACAAGAGTTGAAATGGGGATTTGTGTTGTAAAAGTGAGGATGACATTCTATTTATAAGATACATAGCTGTTTGACATGCAAAAGACCAAAATTGGGAAGGAAGTTGAGCATATTCAGCAAGGTAACGGCAGTCTTAATGATGTGCCTATGTTTTCTCTCAATTAGGCCATTTTGTTTAGGGATATAAGGACATGACCTGTGATGTATAATTTCCTTGTCTTGCAAGAAAGTGTAATTTGTGATTGACATATTCTCCACCTCCATTAGTTTGTAAAGTTTTAATAGAAGTTGAGAATTGAGTTTGTACAAATGCACATAATGAAACAAATGAAGAAAAGAAGTCTAAATTATTAACAAGAGGGAATAACCAACAAAATCTAGCACACTCATCAATAAGAGTGACATAGTATTTAAGACCATCCATTGAATTACATGGTGCATGACCCCAAAACCATCCTTTGAATTACATGGTGCAGGATCTTAGAGGTCACTATGAACAATTTCAAAAAGAACAATGGATTGATGAGACCTAGTTTGAAATGGCAGCTTAGCGAGCCTTCCCTGTAAACAGCTATTACACAGTTCAAGATTAACATCTTTTGCACAAGATATAACAACATTCCAAAGTATTAAGGGGATAGTATGGTTAGATGGATGACCTAAACAACTATGCCAAACATCATGCTAGTCTTGTTGAATGTTTATATGTGGTCGAGCAAGTGAAGGAATAGGATAGAGATCATTATTGCACAGTCCTTTGTACAAGATCATCCATGTGGCTTTGTGCTAGATCAAAAAACAATTGGCATACAAAATAAGCCAATAGTTATTGTCAAGACAAATCTTGTGAACTAACAGCAAGTTATGAGGTAATTATGGGACATATAAAATTGAATTCAGTTTAATTGGATGAACTAAAGGTTTGATAATGCTGCTACCAATGTGAGACACTTTCAAACCTTCACCATTGGCAATTTGAACAGTTTTATTTGCAGGATATGGAGACGCCAAGGACAGATTTTGAAGATTAAATGGTCCTCGTATGAGTGGAAGTATGCATTTCAATCATTTTACCTTAATGGTGGTGCCCTAAGCAAGCACAAAATCGCTTGCTAATGTGCGTGCAAAAGACCTGTTTTTACATCACAACATTGGCATCGATTTCTGCCTCCATTTTCAATGCGCTTAAAACTAAACCCAAGCAGAGCAACCTATATGGGAAAAGAGGGAAACAGAGTTTAGGTAAAAAAAAAATTCAGCACTTGAACTTCTTATTTGCATAATTGTCTTAAAAAAAAAAATCAATGACTTGAATTTTGACATAGTCTAGAATGTCAATTCCTCCTAATCGCGTGTAGTGACTTTCAAGGGAGATAAAGTCATCTGCAAATAAACTTTAAAAACACCTAAATCTTGCAATAATCAAATCACTGCAAGAAAAAAAAACAAACTAAAAAAAATCCAACTTTAACATTCTTTTTGTCTGAAGCAACAATCTTGTTGATAGAATGAAACGAAAGCAGAGAGAAACATGAGAAGGAAAAATGAATTTGATGAATGGTAGACAAACGTTGGATGGCGAAAGAATCAGTCGATGTTGAGGAAGAATTTCGAACTTTTGGCACTGATTTGGTCACTCAATTCTTCTCCCGATTCTGGTATGTTGGTTGTTCTTCCTCCGAAGAAGCACCAAGTTTTCACTGAAAAGTAAATAATCAAAAACAAAAATGAAAATGAATTTGGTGAATAGTAGACAAACATTGGATGGAGAAGGAATGCAG